CGTAGCAATGTTATTTGTACATTTAGACCTACAGCTTGTGTCGAAGTTAACGTTTCTATATAGCCTATAGAAGAAATATATTAAATCGTTAGTGTGACATGAACAGGTCGTGGCACGATTTTTCCCAAATACTCCAAAAGAACCCAGTCAGTAAGAGCAAACGTTACAACAGTCGTGTCAGAAGTGGGATTATTTTGGTGAAAATAAAGTAAAACTGTATATAAACTTCAAGATGACAACCCCGGCAAGAAGTGAAATCAAAACTGTATCAGAGATGATGAAACAAGAAGGTGACGAAGAAAAAAGCAGAAAATTAAAAGAAGATCAAGAAGAATGAGACAGGAAATTAAAAGACTGAGAAGAATGATGTAGAAATTTAAAATACAACCAAGAAATTTACATAAAATTAAAAGAACACCAAGAAGAAAGTGATGGGAATTTAAGAGAAGAAATATATAAAAAAGACACATAATATAATGTGATATTTCAATAAGAATTAAATACAAAAATGTGTGTGATTGACGACAAGATTGGTGAAATTTTGAAGATGTACATGAGGAATAAAGAAATATGAAAGGAAATATATGAAGTTAAAAGTACAAAACGACAAATATACTGTACAGAATGAATGTAATGACAAAACTGAAGAACTGAAAATGGACATCTATAATATGAAAATAAATTATAACAGCAAGATCAATGAAATACAAAGTAATATCAGTGTCAGAATAAAAAATTTGGAAAAAGAATTAGTAAAAGCAAAGATCAAACCAGTCCCACCTCTTTCTGCATTTTCTCAAGAAATTGAACCCAAAACACTATTTATTATTAAATATGGAATAGGAGAATCTATTTGGTCTACACTTGTTACTACTACAGCTGCATCACCTGTGACTGTAGGACTGTTCTTGACTACTCAAGCCATGATCTTACTAAATAAAGTTCCATAACATAGGTGGGCAGTTCAGCAACACTAGTTAATTGAGAAACAAATGGACTATGATGAAAAGGTACTATGGGAGGCATATTCGAAATGATTTCTAGGGTAAATGGTTGGAATAGCAAACAATAAATTATTCATCTCGCTACCAATTTTAAAAAGCCAGCTTTAATGACCTTAATCAAACCTTCCAGCTGAAAGCCATAATAAATATCACATACATTGGTAGCTGCCTTAACCAACAGGTTCAAAGTGACAAATAAAAGCATCCAAAGCAACATCATGGAACAAGATATAGAGGAAAGATAAAGCTTTTACTGAACTTGCGGAAGATTTAGATAGGCTTGTCCAATTATATTACTTGGATGCTCCACGTAAAACGGTGGATTCATTGGCACATGACCAACTTATAAATGCCATAACAGACAGGGATTTGAGAATTAGGCTGAAACAAAATAAGAATACAACTTTAAAGGAAAGGTCTCCAGTTGGCATTGGAACTTGAATACAACTAAAACACCATCTAGTAGTTATGGAATCATCAGATAAGGTATTATTAAAACATTAACTCCTCCTGTTGATAGCCTATAAAAACCGAAAGTATTAGTTAGAAACTAATTACACAGAATGGAGGAAATAAACCACAAGAAAATATGTGTTTCAAAAGTACATATTATGAGGGCCTGTAGACAAAAACCATACGGAATAAAAACTCATTCCAAAGGATGTTGATAAAAGGAACCTGTTATAATTGTTGGAAAATGGCCATTACAGCCGAGAATGTAAAGAATCAACAGCTGTTATTAAGACAAAGAGACAATACTCTGAGGATGTGTCTCAGATATCAACCGGATTAAAAGAACAACTAAAAGCTAAAGAGATATCAGGAAATCGGACTTATTTAGTTTTATAGTGTGAAGTTCAGCTGGGAACAATAACTGCCCCAAAGTACACGAGTTTCTTGATGGAAAATGTTTAAGTATGTTGTTTGACATTAGTTTTACATCTACAATAGTTCAACACAATTTGGTAATTAAAGGTAAGAAATTGCCTCTAGTGATCGAGAAAACAGAGGGATTAATGCAAATAATGGACACACAATCCTAACAAGAGGAAGAGTAAAAGCTATTTTTACTCCAGGAAGATTCTCTACACCTCATGATGTGTAAGTAATTCACATTGAGGGAGAGTGTATACTGGACCCTAACTTCACGCACAGACTTGGATGAGAGGTTAGGCTAGCTTCAAGTCGCTTCACAGTCTATGAAGAGGAATTTCCTGTGCACTACATGGCAATTACTATACTAAAAGTTGAACTTTCAGTGACAACAGAAAGGGTGGTTATTGTATCACCAAGAATGAATAAATCAACATCTACTGACTGGGGCATAGTGAAGCCAAGCACTCTGGTATGTCATGAGAGGTTAATGGCTGGAAAAATTATCGTGAATCTGAAGAATGAAGCTGTCATATATGACTTTACTCGAGAAAGACTTGTGATAAAATGAAAAGTCACTATGACGTTAATGCTGATAAGACTAGACTGTATCAAGGTGATATGATATTCTGAACAATTCTCAATGCAAGATAGGAAAACCTCAAAGTTAAGTAGTTGTTGGAATGAGCAATACATTGTACCGTTTTATTTGTGTTTTAGGATTGTTTGGGGAACTTCGTAATTCAGAAAGGAGGCAGTGTTGTAAACTATATATTCAATACTTTAATTTAAATGTTTGATAGAGGGATCTGCTAATCATCCAGAAAGTTCATGAAAATTAAGAATCGAGAAGATTTATACAATACGTAGAAACAAGGTTACATAAGAAATACCAGAGTTAGTGAATGAGTCGTTTGCGAATGAGTGAATAAGAAAATAATCAGTAATTCAGTTCAGTGGCAGAAAAGTTATTCAACGTTAGAAATGAGAAGTATCGCGTTTATTCTGCTATTTAGTTACTTGAAGAAGTTAAATGTTTATCTATAAAAGCTACTCAAGTTAGGTGCAGTATTATTAGTCAGCAACGTTGATTATGAACTCAGGCCTACAAATTGTGTCAAAGTGAATGTAGCCTGCGGAAACGTCACAGAAGAAACAAATTAATTTGTTATTGTTACGTGTACTGGAATTAGCATTATTTTTACCAAACAATTCATTCAACGATAGAGCACGTTACAACAATACTCATTTCTATTTCCTTGGCATAACTTCGGCTTTCTGTTGTTCTTTTTTAGAAAAATAATATTTTACTGGTATTTGCATTACAAATGCATTTTTATAGGATTTATTTTAAACTTTGTAAAAATTTCTGTAGTAGTTTTGATTAGTTTTCAGTTTCCTTACTAACAACAACATTTTCGAAATTAACTCTTTATCTCGACTACTAATTCTAATACTAAATTAGGTTTCGATACCCGTGGTGGGCACGACACAGATAGCCCATTCTTTACTTTGGGCTTAACTACAAACACTTTGTAGACACCCTGTGCGATTGTTTTCTCATGATTAGAATTCGCCACGAATAGTTAAAATGAATAAAATATTACAAGTACTTTGTTGCACTGGATAATAATATATGGAATATTTTAATATTATTTGGAATATTAACCCTTACAAAAATAAGATAAAAAGGTTCAGCAACAGCATCCGAACTATTAGACTTCTTAAAAATATCTTACCACATGGAGTGGTTGAATACCTTTTTATTTTACCCCCAACACACTAGTTATTGTGATTCTATAAATATAATTAAAACATCAACATCAGACAGTGGGCTGCTACACCTACATCCTTCCCCATGACTGTGTCACGACCACTTCTTCATAATGTGTATAGCTAATTTAATTCACAGTCTATGACCAGGAAATCCCTGTGCACTAATTGGTAATAACTATACCAAAGGTTGAACTTCCAGTGACAACAGGAGGGGTAGTCATTGTACTACCAAGAAAGAACCAGTACCAACTCCCCCCACCCAGTGACAAGACAGCACAGGTCAAGAGGTCATCTCATAACCCTTGAAAAAGAAAGCCACCAGAAAGACTTGGTGAATGGTCTGTTTAGTTATATTTAGATACTAGATTTGTAATTTAACTAAGCTATGTATTAGAGCTTGAATTTACACTACTTCTAGTTCTTTAAAGCATGCATCCAGAGTTGTTCCACAATCCTATATGCTAATGAATCTATAACTCATTACTTTAAAAGACTGATATAGGATCACTTAAATAAATATCAACAAGAAACACACATTTAATACCATTTGAATTATAAGCGTTCATTACTGCTGTTATAAATCAATAATGATCAGGAAATCCCTATACATTTCATGGCAATTACTAAACCAAAGTTTGAACTTCCAGTGACAACAGGTAGAATAGTTATTGTACAACCAGAACCAGAACAGCCATTGCCTGTGTGTACATCCATTTATTCAAAGTAGCACAGGAATAACAAAGTATTTGCATGCTCCACAATATGCTAATCTTAACTGCATCTTCTCATATTTATTTTTGCTAAAACATAGAGCCTTCTGGTGGATGACTAAGTCTGTTTTTTTTCAACATCATAGCTTATGTTGCTCTCGAAGAATTGCCTTAATTGAATATGAAGTAAAATAGCATAACGGAAAGATGTTCTCTACATCTACATAATAAATATAGAAACCATACTAAAAATACAACAGTCATCTAACTTATTTTCTGTTTAAGGAAGAGTTATAGGAGAACAAAACATGTTTCAAACAACCTGTAAAACAAAATGTATACGTATTACAATCTTATTAGTATGGAATAATTAAACACCCTTCATAAGATTAGTAACAGCATTCAAAACCAATTTATATTAGAATCTTGCAGTTGTGGACAAACAGTTATTTCTGTCAGCACTCCTCTTCTTACTAATAATGATATGCATAAGATTTAGAAAATAGACCATTCTTCAGTAGCCATTCATGTACAAAGTTTTTAAAATAGGCTAGAATGTAATCTGTAAAAAACATGTATCTAATTTTAAAGGTGATACTAAGAAGTTACAACATTGGTGCACAAAAAGGAAGATTTTTCAAGGAGTGAAATAACTTTATTAGCAACTGACTGCCATCTCACATACACGTTAAAAGCTCTTGATTGATGTCAATTTTCTAATACCCACAAATTAAAAGTAACAGATTAAAAGGTTCAAACTAAAAATAAATACAAAATCAAATTTTTATCAAAAGAGAATACCGAATGTACAGCACGTATTTTTTTACTCACAACAGACAAAACAATTAGTTTAAAATGAGAGAAACAACTGATACTAAATAAAAATATTAATTTTTACTAGAAAAAAAAAAAGAGAGAAAAACAGATGTTTACAGGTGGTGATAGTTATGAAATAAGAATTTAATCAAGTTATATTTGTTTCATTATTAATTAGGAAAACAAAAAAAGACTTGAATTTCAATATAAACAATTATACACAGATATTACAAATGGACATATTTTAATCAAATGATATTCTCAGTATTTTTAAGTATAGTTTTGTCTAGCATAAAACCATAACAATGCACCAAAGTCAGAAATTTTGTTTTTTTAATCGAGAAACAACTGAATATTATAAACCATCACCAATTCTCTCTTCTCGTTAATGATGACTTTTTGAGATTTGATAGCCAGGAAATAGATCATTTTAGTATTCTGATCAAGAAAAAAACAACAAAAACAAACAAGTGTTAGCTTCTTACTTCATAAAAACTTTGTCCAAAAGGATGCTGTAACCTATTTATTTCCATGCCCCATTTACTGCCGTCAAACCTGAGGGTAAAAATTATAGTTTGCAGACAAAATGAAGATTATTTTAACTCAGAATATAACAAATCCACTGATTACTGGAGAAGCAAGCTGGTCCACAATTCAGACAGACAGAAAATGGGGACTTTATAAAACAGCTGTTGCCTGTGTTTGTACATCCCTATGTTCAAAGTAGCACAGGAACTACAAAGTGCTTGCATGATCAATGATCTGCTAATCGTAACTGCATATCCTCTTATTTATTTTTGCTAAAATGTAGAGCCTTCTGGTGGCTGACTAAGTCTCTGATTTTCTTTCAGTGTCATAGCTCTACGAAGCTCTTGAAGAACCGTCTTAATCGAATACGTTCTTTGCCAACGACTGAGCACAGTAATAGATTTTTTCTCAACCTATCAAACAAAAAAAAAAAAAAGATTAAAAATACTGTGTAATTTAAACCAAAATATTTTGCGATTCTATCAAAAATATAAAAAAAAATACATAAATACATACAAATGTTATTTTAAAGTTAAAACAAAGCTAACATCCTGCAGACCCTAATCTTTAAAAACAATCCATCATATCAATCTGGAAATTTTCATGCACATTGGAAAGAAAGAATGAAGCATTTATTAAGTTGTAAGTAAATAGTCCTGTAACCCAGTATAGTTATTTTAGTTTTACAACCACCATAAAACATAACATATTTTAGTACCCTGAAAAAATTAGTAACAAATTCTGAGTATACGCTTTTTTTTCCATTTAAAATATTTTTTGGTCAAGCACATGAAAAGGAATTCTTGAAGATAAGTGTCTGGGATGGCCACAGAAATTCTGAATTATATTAAGAATTATGGAAATAATAACATAACAATGTTTTGGGACAACATGGGACCTATTGGTCCATCTCAGCCGTAACATTCTTTAAACAAGTGTTTTAAAATGCCAGTACGTGTACCGGTACCGGTCCTTGACGTAATTTCTACCGGTCCGCAACGAGTCTCGGCCGTTGAAAGCACCGACATTTACTTACGTTTCTTTCAATATATGATGACTAAAAGTCACCTTTTCTTTTTTGTTTTCAAAATTATTACTATTATTTTGTAAATAACAAATATTTTATATGGAATGTCAGTCCCGGAAAATGTTTTTGGAATTTTACTAGTCCGTGATCACCAAAAGTCTGGGAACCACTGCTCTAAACTAAATTAAAATAATTTTAAAAAATCTTAAAGTCAGACTTTATCATTCATATACAATTAAAGCTTTTTCTTAAACTCATTTAAATTTATTGCCTCTACAACATCTGAAGGCAACCCATTCCAAAAGCCAACCAAACTGTTAGAAAAATGAAACTGTCTTAGTTGAAGATGACACCTACCCTGCCAAAATTTATATTTGTGTCCCCTAGTCCTACTATTCTCACTGTTAAACATGAAAAATAATGATGCATCAACACTATCAATTCCATTTACAATCTTAAACACCTCAATCAGATCCTACCCACTAAATTCTTTTTTTCAAGAGAAAACAATAAGAGATTCCAGCCTCTCCTTTTATGACAACCCCTCCATCGCAGGCACCATTCTAGTAACCCTTTCCAATAATTCAATATCTTTCCTAAGGTAAGGAGCCCAAGACTGAACACAATATTCCAAATGTCGCCTAACCAGTGACTTGTAAAATGAAATTATAACCTCTTTAGACTTGTATTCAATATTTCTGTAGATACAACCTAAAATCCTATTTGCCTTACCACAAGCAACAGCATACTGTTTGGATGGCTTTAGAGACTGAGCAACTATTACACCAAGATCGCTTTCCTTCATAACACTATTAAGGTTTATTCCCATCCAAATTATACTTATAAATAAAATCATGATAACTCACATGCATTATCTTGCATTTATTATAATTAAAACTCATTTGCCCAACTCACTAAATGATCTAAATCCTTTTGTAAGTCAGCAACATCCTCTTCACAGCTAGCAACATCCAAGACTTTAATATCATCTGCAAATTTAAGTAATTTATTGACTATCCCTTCATCTATATCATTGATGTAAAACAAAAAGTGCAAAGGTCCTAAGACTGAGCCCTGAGGTACCCCACTTATGACATTAATTTAGTTTGACTGAACTCCATTTGTAATAACCCTCTACTTTCTTCCATCCAGCCACTCTTCTATCCAATTTGCTAACATATCCCTCACACCT